CGGGGCCAGTCCCAGGGGACCTGCCCTGTTCCTGAGCGGGAAGCCAAAGCACAGGCCCAGCGGTGCCCCAACCTCGGTGGCAGAGGTCCCCGCCCTGCTCCCCTGCCTCCAGGCTCCCTGGGCCACCTTGGGACCCCCGGGAGGGCGCTGGGCCCAGCAGCACCAAGGCCGGCCACTGTCCACCATGCTCCCGGCATCCTGTTCCTGTCACCCCGCCTCTGCTCGGCTGCGCCCCCGCCTGGCCTGCTGTCCGGGCCCCTCCCTGCTTCCTGCCCCTCCTGGGGGCCTCTCCCCCTGCCTGGCACCCCCACAAGTATCTGAACAGAAGGAGGCAGTGTGACCGGTCTCCTGTGTGCAGAGGTGGGCAAGGGCTGCCCAGCACCCACCCGTACCCCAAACTCATGGATGTCATCAAGACACTGCCAGGTGGGTCCCCACGTGGGCCTGTGGCCCTCACGGTGGTCCCGATGGCGGCTTCAGCTCACCAGTGTCGGGGGCCCAGGACCACCACCTGCCTCCCACCCCCGATCCTGTGGTAACCGGGGCCCTGCTCTTCCCAGGGCCCCCATGGGGGGCGGCTCTTGTCATCCCATCTACAGTTAAACACTCAGAGTTGGGCATTCGTGCAGCGCTGGGTCCCCGGCGGGCACAGGAAGAGAGGGAGGCCCGAGAGCGGGCGCTGCTTGTCGGAGGGGCTGGGGCTGAACCCGGGCCCCCTGCTCCCCCAGGGCCACTTCCTGCCCTCACCTCCCCTGCCCGAGACAGCGCTGCAGGGGCTAAGGCGAGCCTGCATCAGGGGCCCAGTCAGGGCTGGGCTCGAGGTCTTGAGGGCCCCTGGGGCAGTGGGCCTGCGGGGACCGTGCCAGGCCAGCCTCCTGCCCACACCCCCTCGCCCAGCTGCCCGTCCCGAGGAACGCTCTGGCAGAGCCCCTCCCTGAGGGACGCGGCCCAGCAGCCAGGTCTTTCCTACGGCCACACACGGGGCAGCGACAGAGCTGACTCCCCCCGAGGGGACCCTGTGAGCGGCCGCCCACACCCCCAGGGGAGCTCGCTGAGGCCACACAGCGGGGGACATGGGGGGCTGCCCACGCAGGGAGACGTCCGCCAGCCTCAGTGGCCTCAGTGGTGACAGGAGGTCAGCCACGCTCAGCATCCCGACAGCAGGCTGGGTGAGGGGCCTGGGTGGCGACAGTGCGGTCGGCCGGCCTGCGGTCCCCACCCACGTGAGGGAGCACACGGGGGCTCCAAGGGGCTTGGCACGGGGTCCGTGGGAGTCCCCGGCAGAGCGGCGGGGTCCTGAGGCTCACTGGGGCCGGGAGAAAGGGCCTGAGTTGCTCCTGCCCCTCGACCCCACCCCCCGAGTCCGCTCC